GGAACCTCTTATCTTAACCCAAACAGAGATGAATAGCGCTGTAGGCTCTGTGCTCCCCAATGTCTGGCCTGCACGCGGAGCCTGCCCACACCACAAGCAGCATGCAAGAGCACTGTCTTCAGAGTGTGCTGTCCTGACCAGGTCATAAACATCATCTAGGAATTTGGGAGAAATGCACATTCTTGGTCTGTATTCCAGACCTTCAGAATCAGAACCCTGGAGATAGAAGCCTACCACAAGTGTTCCAGAGAACTTGCATGACTGTTTAAGTGTGAGCATCACTGAAAGAACCTCAGAACCACCTGGAAATTAAACGAGGAAAAGAACAAGGAGGTCTTCACATCTGGTGGATCCGTGTTCACAGTCACTGTGGCCACGTGGCAGCAGGTGGCTCAGGACCTGGATCTTGACTCTCATGTCGGCCTTGATCCCTGGGCACACACTCCTGAAGTTCCCCTGCCCCTGAGTCTACTGCTGCTGGCAAAGGGTGGTCTCCATGATAACCAGCCCAGAGGCTGCCTGCGATCCTGGCTCGAGGTCTGCTGTGCACTCGCGTGTCTGACATCCTGGGCACTCAAGTGCAAAGATGGCCTTCTGCAATGTGATTACCCCGGTTTACCTCATGGCAAACCTCCACCCTCAGGACAGACGGCTGCTTACTCATTTGGGTCAATGAAGCTGAACATCATTTTTCAAAACTGTCATGATGCCTGGTCACTGTAATTAAAAGTTCTACCACTCTATCCAATTGGAGTCTGTCTATTTTAAAAGAACCCTAATGTGGCACCAAACAGATGGTGCTGGCATGGTTCTGGACATGGCTCACGACCCACGAAGAACTGCTTCATCTTAGGAAGGTAAAACGTGTCTAAATGAATAGAGGGACATAGAGGGTTGGCGGGAGTATGCTGGTCATGCTCCCAGGATGCACTAAATCCAGTGACTGTGCTCTGATCACAGGGGACAAGGTGACTCCAAAGAGGGTAGGCCCAGGAGCAAGGCTGAGGACTCAGAAAGAGAACCTATGAGCCTGAACACCCACACAGCTGTCCATTATGGAGCCAGGTCTTCTACTTTGCAGGGCTCAGGAGTGAAGAGAACAGGCCACCTATTTAAGTCTTGTTGCCTCCCACTGCCCTGGAAGCTAAAGCCCATTGCACATAGCACCCAATCTGGAAAAGCCAAAAATCTACAGGGAGGAACACATTTTACAATGTGTTCTTGAGCAGCTCTATTGTTTCTCAGAATATTCCCTCTGTACATGGCTAATTAAAATAACCCCACTATACCATCTTATACCTGACTCATTAGCAAAAGATAAATTAAAAAATAAAAATCTCTGAAAATAACTCTCCATGCTGGACACCTTGTGATGAGAGGACACTCTTAATTGTTGGTTGCACTGTAGAGCTCTGGGTCCCTTATAGGAAGCATTACATCACTGTTGTAATTCTCCTTCCTTAAAATTATTATAAAGAGACAATCAAGCATCAATCTACGTTTTTGCAGCACTGTTTAACATTGTTAAAACTCAGGAGCACTGTAAATGCCTAGCTTTAGAAGACCTGGTTTATTAAACTGTAATGCTTTGACATAACAAAAAGTTGAAATATAATTTTATGGAAATGAAATAATATGGAATTGAAATGTGAATTATAGAAACTATAGAAAAGCAGAAAGAATTTGATAGGCTGGATGAAAATAGAATAAAGATTATCTACACAATGGTCAGAATGATAAATATATGTATATCTGGGGATGGTATATGTAGCCAAGAAAACTTATCAGGATTATAGAGAATCATTTGAATTTGAAGTGAGTTTGAAATTTGTTTTTAATGCTATAATATCCTTAAAAATGAAACACTGGGTGAAAAACTGCTTATGAAGCTATTTATGATGAAGTCTGCCTACAGTTTGGGGATAGATCAACTGGCTGAGCAACTGGTGATGGGGGGAGCCCCAAAGCCATGCTACTAGCTTTATAGGTAAATGATAAAGTGCTCATTTTGCTTAGGAAATAAGAGCATGCAGGATTTCCCTTACCTTTGTCTCTTGATTCAGAAGTAGAGAGGATGATAAATTGCATTTTTATGCTGTCAATACAGGGCTTTTATAGTACATCTTCAGTACTAAATGGGACTCTGCAGAAGTGGTTGGGGGTCACTTCCAGCTCCCCAGGGGCAACTTTGGGGTTGGGTTGCATCTTTTACTGTCCCCATCGTGGCTGATGCCTGGGATGGAGGAATGTTCCATAGAGGTCATGCTTAGCCTCCCCACTGAGATCAGGAGTAAAAACCCAGGACTCCCCCAACCCCCTCAGTTGATGAATGGGAAGGAGCATGAAGGGAGGGGGTCCGAGGCTGGCTTCAAAGGACATCCTCGGAGAGCCAGCAAAGGCAGCCTGCACTTGACTTAGAGAGTTGCTCTCAGAGTTGCAGGTGAGGTCAGCAACTTCGGCTCAGCTTCCTGCCTTCATCTCACTTCTCTGAGTGCCCACTATACAGGGGCATGACCATGGGCCAAAGCAGGAGACTGAACTAACTAAAAAGCTTCCAGAAAATCCCATTATCTGTTTCAGTAAACCAGATTCAGTTTAGGAAATCTGGTCAGTGGTGATTTTTGTGTAAAGTTTTGTGTGTGTGTGTGTTTATTTTGTTTTTTTTTAATTACTATGGAGCTGTAGGACTGACTGAAAAAAAGAATTGGATTTTAAAGTTGAAGGGTGCCCTGGGCCAGCCCAATGGTACAAGGGGAGAAGGTGTAGGTTTAGAGTCAGACACACCTCGATTCAAATGCAAATGTGAACTTTATGAGCCACAGCTGCCTCCTTTGAAACAGGGAATAATTGTGCCTGCTTTTCAAGATAAAATGAATGTGCAGAGTTAAGTGAAAGCAAGGGCAGCTGCTTGCTTATTAGGAGGAGTTGAGGGGGTCCACAGGGTGGGGCAGAGCTGGGTCTCTGCTCTCCTGCTTTCCCACTGCTCCTGCCACACACCACTGCCATTCTGAAAGTCTCACCTCTTTGAATGAGTCACTTGACTTTCTTGCACCTGTTTATCCCCCTGTAAATTCAGGATGATTGTGGTACATATATATTTTTTAAAGGTTTATGTATTTATGCATTCAGAAGTGGGGTACAGGCCAGGGGTGCAGGGTGGGGAGCAGAACAGGCAGACTGACAAAGTACACTGCTGAGGGGACAAGAGGGGTCTGCTGCGCCATGTTGGCCAGCTCCCTGGCCAGGATGGCACTCGTGCTGAAGCAGCTGCAGTGAGCTTTGTAACACTGTGCTTTAACCCACTGTTCCACCAGAGAGGGCCCTGATTGTGGTGCCTATTTTACAGGGCTCTTGAGAAGGTAAAACGAGGCTATCCAGATGGAAGTATCCAAGGCAAATGTTCATACATCGTCTCCAGTGCTGGGAACTAAGTTACAGACCCTGACAGGCAAGGGGTGTCTCCCACAGGGAGGCATTCACCCAGGACACGCCTGCCCTGTGCCCATGTCAGAGTCACCCGAGGGCATGAAATGGTGCCTTCAAAAGACTCAGAGTGTGAGCTGCCCTCAGAGCCTCACTTTGTTCTCCCAAGGGGTCAGGGATTGCACCGTGCAGGCATTTTAACTGCTGGGGGCACTGAACCTGCCCACGGAACACCTGCTGCAGTGCACCTGCCCGAGCTAATACCCCTGCCGGAGGCACACTGTACCTGCTTGAGGCGCAGGTCTCTGGGGCGGCCTTTGGCCACGCTGAGCTCCCACACACACACCACAGCGCTGGCTCCCGCGGTGACGATCGTCGTGGGGGATGGGCACACGGCACACAGACAGCGGCCCCAAGCAGCCAGGTTCTCGAAGGTCACCAGGTTCTATGGGACACAAGGAAAAGGAGCATGAGCAGCAGGGCCGCCAGGGGCTGTGAGCCACGAGCAGGGTGAGAGAGGGGCCTGGCAGGTCCGGAGACTGCTGCCCTGCTCGTGCGCTTTGGGGGCCAGGGCACACGTCACCTGACCCTGGGAAGCCTGACCCTCGTGACAACCCAGGCCTATTCCCAAAGAGGTCAGACTCCATTGGTAGAGAGACCTGGGAGCAGGTGGTCGCTGGGACACTGAAGGAGCCCCCAGGAGCACTGGGAACGCCAGAAGGCCAGCGACTCGCCTGGAGAGGCCAGTGATGGCTTTCAGGAGAGGGTGGCATCTGGGATGGCTTCATATAGGTGGTAGGGAAGGGAGGGAGGGACAGAGGGCTTGGTGAGTAGGGAATTCACCCCATGTGGTGCAGTGGGCCAGTGAGAGGTGGGGGAGAGGGGAGTGACCATAGGCGACTTGGGTGGGGGCAGCCAGAAACACTTGCAGAAGGTGGAAATCACTGGGTTTCTTAAAGCAGGGGTAGGCGGGCTATAATCAGAGGTCCTCTGGTCTAAGATCTGACTGGGGAAAGGGAGCCCCAGAACCTCCCACCCAAACTCAATGAGAAGCTGTTGACTTGATGTAGCCAAGTGACCAGCCAGAGGCAGAGATGGCTGTGGAGCTGAAGGCGTCACTGCTAACTTGTGTGCTCCACTGCTTGGAATTTAGTCAAGGCCCACAAGGGCCCCCGAGTGGCTGCGGCATGGAGGAAGCGGTGGCCCATCCTTGACCAGCCCTGCCGAGGCCCTGGGGCCTCTCACCTTGTCAGAGCCGTAGCTCCCCAGACAGCAGCTGAAGTCATCAAAGCCCCAGCTGAGGGTCCGGTTCCAGTGCGGAGGCAGCAGCACCTTGTTCCTCTCCACAGCCAGGATGGTCTTTTCAGTAGGGACGATGTGGCCAATGGCTCCTTTGGGAGATTCTGAGCCTAGAGAAAAAAGGTACATATCTACCCCCCAGTCAGTATGGTGGCATCTATATGTCAAAAGGTGATGCTCATTTCTGCTGGGCCTGGAAAGGTGGTGTGGGCAGGCCACCCCGACTTGACAAGCACATGCAGGGCAGGAGCTGCTCCCTGAGGTGCCTCACTCCCAGGCTTCACTGTGCTAGACCCTGGCCCTCAGTTGCTCCCAGAGATAGCACGGAAATTAAGCTTGTGGCCCTGCAGGTGTTCAGTGTCTCTTACAGGCTAATGCCTGGGGACGGAGGAGAAGGTGAGGCTGCCAGGGCAGGTGGCCTGGGGAGGGTTCTGCCCACCCTTCTCCACTCAGGGGCTGTATCTAACAGGGCTGGGTGTTCTTGGATTTATGGGGGGCAAAGGACCCATCAAAAAAGCCCCACAAAACTGACCTTACTATAATCTTTGAGACCAGAATCCTGTTCCTGGTATTGGGATTTCCCAAAAGTAAATGTGTGCTGGAGTGACACAGACATCAGTCTTTGCACATGAGCACAAGCTTCTCCAAGGAGTGGCAGGGCTGGGCTCCCCCTCCCTCAGAAACCTAGGTCTCCCCGGTAGACTATACTTTGGTGAGGTAAGTGTGTGTGGGAGACAGACAGACAGAGACAGGTGTGTGTCTCAGGCAGAGAGATAGTCAAGTCTTAAGAAGTCAGCTCTAACAGGGGTGGCCCGAGACACATTCAGAGCAGAGGCCACCCCAGATTACTGCTGTGAAGGCAGACGTGGTCATCCAGTCAACCCCAAGACCCTGCCCGTGTCTGTGCCCTGAGTCTCTGAGGGGACAAGTCTGGGAGAGGACACCCAACACAGCAGGGCCAGGTAGTTACCTTTTACTGTGACCTGGGAGGGCCTCAGCGAGTGCAGGTTGCAGAAGAAGGGCTGTGGGTGGCCCTGCAGGCTGGCAGGTGTGGAGACATCCTTTCCAGGGGAAGGCTTCCCTGCTGCGGTCCTGGCTGGGTGGGGCTTAGTAAAGAGCTGGAGAGGCGAGGGACAGAAGCACACAGTGAAGGCCATCAGCACAGAAAGAGGAGTCAGCACACAGTCGCAGTTGCACCCCCACTCCTGGCGATGCCTCGGCCGGATTCGGCCCTGTGGGCGGCGAGCACATGAGCACAGCAGAACTGCTGGGCTCAAGCCGCGCAGGCCGCAGATGCGGGGCCTGGGGAGTCGAGCAGAAGAGCTGCTTTCTCCGAGTCACAGTGCAGGGCTGGCAGAGACAGCCCTCTTGGCTGCCAAGTCTAAAAACTCTTGGCATTTCTTAGAAATTCTTCTCCAAACTGCTTGGGGAGAGGATGACTCATCAAGCAGCTCCCGGCTGCCTGGAGGGATCGCAGCTCTGCTATCACGGATCAGATGTGGCTTCTTCCTTCCTCCCTCCATCACCTGCCTTCAATTGCTTATTTCTCGGACCTGTTTCCTTTCCCTTAAACCCTCTGCAGGCACCTGCATTTAGGCAGCAACACAGGCCTCTTTAACAGCATCCATCAAATGATACAAAGAGCAAGCCACATTAGTCAGTTTTCTTACTTTTATTTTTCTTAACTTTCTATGTCAAATTGTCCCTGATGCGAAACTATAAAAAACAAAACAAAACAAAACAAAACAAAAACACTTTCTAGTATCTCTATTTTGTGTCTATGATTTTTTTTTTTTTCTTATTAGTGAAGGGCCATTTTCCGTAGCTGGGCAGTGCATGGAGGGTGAGGCTGTGCTGCTGGACCAGGCAGTGTCCTGAGGCCACTGGATGCTCCCTCCACCCACCCACCCTTGCGCAGCTTCTGCCCTGCTGCTCTTTCCAGCCAAGGGGCACATTTCTCTGCTCCTCCATGGCAACGCCCACTGCGCACCATGATGGAGAGACCTGAGGCCAGACTTGGGGGAACAGGCGGAGACAGGGCTTGGTTCCTAGAGCAGCTCGGCTCTGTGCGTCATTGATTGGATGCCTGGCTCTCTAGTAAAGCTGGCTGGGTGGTTAACACAAATTTATTCAGAACTGTGATTTTTAAATTGGCATTAAAAAACGGCTTTTTAAATTGGCATTAAAGAACGGCCTTTGCAGGAACCCAAACGGGATCCTGCAATAGCCTCTCAATGGAGCAGTGCAAGGTCCTGAAGCATTTTAATCTTGCCTTTAGGCTGGGATCACGTGAAAGATTCTAATACTGAGGACTCTTTACAATTTGCTTTAAATTAATACATTTTATTGAAACACTGGTTTAGTATAATTCAACATCTGTATATTATAATCATCATCAAAAATAACTTCAGTCTACTACCAAATAACTGACTTGCTTTACCCAGTTTACCTCCTACTCCCTTCTCCCAGGCAGCTATCGTTTTGTACTTACAGTCGGAGAGTTCTTTCCCTTCTTTATAAATGTTTTTAAAATTCACAAGATATATCACTAAGAAGATCAAGAATAAAAAATTGTGTGCATTCCAAGCTATGCTGATATGAAAATATCTTTTGCTTGCAGACAAGGACTATGGAACACAAGTCACATGTGGGTAGTGGTGGGTACTATTTTGAACTGCTCAATTACTTTATCTGTATTATGCTAATTGGTTAAACTAAAGGAATGAAATTATCAGGCTACTTCAGCTTCATTCCTGAAACTCTCTGCTTTCTACAAAGCCTCCCCTGGACAAACCCACCCATTCTCCAAGTCACCCCAGGCCCTTGTCACACACCCCTGACCCCTGAGCAAACCTAAGCAGGTCAGATGAGGTCAAATGGAAAAGATGTTATTAGTTTTGCAGTGACAGTGAGATGAGCTCAACTGGCCTCACGCGGGGAAGCGGTGCCCAGACAGCCTGGGGTTGGCTGCGTGTGTGCACAGAGCTGCCAGTGAGGCTCCTGACAGCATGGGCTGGGATCCAGCCCCTGGGGCCAGACTTCTCAACCCAGATGGCTTCTCTCAGGGAGAAAACATCTCCACACTGAACTGAAGCTTGCGTTTAACAGCTGGGAGCGTTAAATGAGTGCTTCGTCACACTGCGTTCACCAGGACTGCAACATGAATGCATATCCTCACATGGCTTCCTGAATATCCTGGGGGGGGGGTGGAGTCTGCAAAGCAGAAGATTCAGCTGACACCCCTGCAATTTGACCAAGGGTCCAGGGGGCAAAACTCGATGCTCCTGCACGGATGGCAACGTGGTACAAGCTCTAGAACCAGCCAGATGGGGGTAGAGCTCTAACTCTGTCACCCGTGAGTGAAGACATTATTGACAAGAAAGTCATTTAGTCTCCATGAACCTCAGTTTCCTGATCTGTAAAAAAGTAAGTCCTATACCCCGAGCTCATGAGAAGATTCACTGAGATAATCATACTGATAACTAGTATTTATTGAGTGCTCTAAGCACATTTCAGGCACGTTCGAACACCTGGTATTTTAGTTCATTCACAGTGATGCAATAGGGTAGACACATACACAAGAATTGTCTCCTGTGGTTTTATCACAGTGTCTAAAACATGCATCGCAATGAATGTGGTCTTCAACACTGTCATTACTAACATCATCACTTTCATCAACATCAGGTGGTAACTGAGGGCTAAGCCCTGACATTTCCCTCTCGTCTTCTCTCTTGCTCCCATCCCAGGAGAAAATGTACTGACTCTCTCCACCCCCGCCCCCAAGTTCATAATACCACTCTTTGGAGAAAGCAAGATAAAGGACATGACATGCTGTACCTGTTTGGGCACCTGTCCAAAGTTGCTGACAAACCCCAGGATCGTGCTCCTGATCAGGGGGTCACTGACGCTGCTGAGGTCCATTTTGTCACCATAGAAGTAGGGATGGAAGGTATTAACAGCCTCCACGGAGGCTGACCCCTGTTGCTTGTACCCAAAAATGAGGTCTATCCAGTGGTGGAGGTTGGCACTGACAAAGTCACTTTCCAAGGCCTGTAACGAAAACCCCAAAGCATGAAAAATGCAGCCCCTCCCAGACTTGTACCCCCACTGCACAGGCAGAAGAGCAGGCAGCAGGATGCTGGAGCTGGCTCTGCTCAGGGGGCTGGTGCCCCCCCCCCCACGCCCCAGGCTGGATGGGCACTAAGTGGGCAGACACACAGGGCGCCCGAGACCTCACAGGTGGTGGGTGGTTTTCACAGTCATGTGGGTTGCTGGACTTCATGGCTACTGTAGAGCTAGGCAGGATAAACGGTAACAGTGTGTTAATACTCCACAAAGAGGTTCTTACCAAACTGAGCCATTCATCTTGAAGAACAGTCTCTGATTGTTCCAAACCTTTGGTTGATTTTTAGAATTCTGAAGCCTTTGCTTCAGATGATTCTTTCTGCTGCTATGCAGTAGGGACTTTCGGAGGCTCCTAAGTAGACATTTTTCTGGTGTGGGTCATTAAGATCCTAATCTACTCCAGTCTAATCCTCGCTCCATCAAAGGAGCTGACCTTACGTGGTCAGCCCTGCCAGAGTGCCAGAGTCCCTGTCTCACCTCTCACCTGCACCCCACAGCCTGCCTCTCTTTGACGTCCTCTTTACAGTTATGCATTCCTGCTCTCTGTGTGGTTATTGGGAGACTCTTCCTTTCCACAAGAACACTGGCACCTGCATTCAGATCTGTAGAGCGAATCTGTTCACTCACTTTTCAAGAACTTCTCTGAGGGTCAAGCTCATCTCTAGCCCAAGTACTCCAGACCAGTGAGGTGAGGGAGGAATGGCTGCTGGATTAAATATCCAGAGCCAAGGATAAACCAGAGAAGAATTTCTCCTTGCCAAGGCAGAAGGACAGAGAAGAAAGTACAGCTTCATAGTAACTATCAGTCCTGTCCCCAATTACTTTTTTAACATAACTTAAATACAAAAAATTCAAACATAGTTCAATGTGTTCTGACACATACGTGAAATCATACAGTCACACCATAATCTAGGTGGAGGGCATTTATATCAATTCAAAAAGTTCTTATACTTCCTTTTTGCTCATCAGATGTTAACAGACCACTGATCTCTTTTCTGTCCCTATCGTTTCACTACTTCCAGAATGACCATAAATAAAATCCCATGGATTTGGCTTTGGGCTTTGGGTTCTTTGGCTTAAAATAGTGGTTTTGAGATTCATCCATGTTCTTCCACATAGACACAATCTGGTTTTTTTAATTGCTATATTTACATTCTTTTTATTTTATATATTCTTTTTATTTTATGTATTTATATGTCATATTTCTTTTTATTGTTAAATTTGTTCCATTTTGTGTTTTTCTGTTTTTAATTAAAATGGATAAATATTTATGTATACACTTTTCCTGTAGATGTCTTTACATTTGGGGGATAGGAATTGCTAGGTGATATGGCAAATGTATCTTCATAAGCAGGTACCATGCTTTTCCCCAAAGTGGCTGTGCCTTTTTGTTTATCCCACCTAAAATGTGTAATGAACTCTGATTCCTCCACTGTTGCTTACTCTTGGCTTACTCCATGTCTTAAATTTTAACTAGACATTCTTGTGAGGGTGTATTAGCATCTCACCATGGTCTTAATGCATGTTTCCCTGGTGACCGATGATACTGAACACATTTTCATGTACTTAATGTTAACCCAAGCATCTGATCCAGAATATGCATCATGAAATGGCCCTTGGCCTCTGTCCACACCAACCTTTCTGGGTAATAACCAAGTGCTGCCTAGCTCTGGAAAATCCTTTGGCCACTGGGTGCCCCTGAGGCCTTCCAACTCTTCTCTGAGCTACACTGGGCAGGATGGTCCGGGGCATGGCCCTGTCTACAGGGTTAGCTAAGGACATTAATTGCCCTCCACCCAATAAGAATCTAAGTGGTTTCCCCCAGTGATTGCCATAATAAACTGGCACAAGGGCAGAGCCGAATGGAGCTCTTAAATAGCTCAGAACCCAAGGCCAACCTGCCAACTTGGGGCACAAAGCCAACCTTCCCTCTCCAGGTTCTCCTAGCACGAGAGCCCTAGAGTTGGTTGTTGCTAGCACTGCACTGGGATAGAAAGCCTCTGTGGACATAGAGGGAACAGAGCGGTCCACACTGCAGAGACCAGGGACTTTGCTGTGACCCCAATTGACTCACCTGTCTGTGCAGGCTGATGAACTTCCGAGGGTCCCCATCAGCCCAGGGAGGGAGCTGGACATCCCCCAGCACTGTTCCATCCTGCATGCAGCCTGAAGGGAGTGAAAACATCAGAGTTTGGGGGAAATGGGAGTCCAAACTGGTCGAGGGAAAAGGGGTGTGAGCACTGTGTTGTCCAGGGCTGTAGAGCCTGTGCACATCAGACTGTGCACTGCACCCTGCACAGACGGCCCTGGCGCCTGCCTCTCTGGGTGCTCCCCCCTCATTGGCCTGTAGTTTTCCTACCTGACCTGTAAACCTTAGCTCCTCCCACGAGGCCCTGCTGGCTCCCGAGGCAGTATCTGCGCTTAATTCACAGGTTGTATGAAACGGTCATCGTGTCGTCACTCTATGCCTGCCTTCCCTACTTGATGCCTTTTCATCTGGTGCTTTTTATCCAGGGCTAAAGCAATAAGGCGATAATACCCATAAATGCTGTTGTATTTTGAGCACCTAATTCTATGCCAGGGCACGACGCTAGGTGCTTGGCACACGTTGTTGTATCGAATCTCCATCCAACTCTATAATTTATGCATTTTCTATTCAGTTTGAAAGTAAGGGCAGCTAGCTTTCAGAGGGAGCTTTCCCAGACATTAAGAAGAGGAACCTGGATACAAGCCCATGTCTCTTCTACCCATTAGCTGCACAACTGTGAACACGTTGCTTAACCTCTTTGGGATTCACTTCCTACCTGTTACCTCATGGGGCTGGTATAGGGATTAAAAGAGAAAATGTGCATAATGTACTTAGAAAAATTCCAGGCCCAGGAGGATTGTTCAATAAACATTCATTATTATCCTGCTTAAACCCTCCAGAGCTTTCAGACTGGAACCAGAATAAAACCTTCCCCTCCTCTCTCTGGCTGAGGGCTGTGCCTGCCTTGATCCTTCTCATCATTCGGCCTCAGCCCAGCTGTCACCTACTCAAGCAGGTGTCAGAGTCACTCACAAACTCTCTTCCTGCCTATTTCCTCCACTGTGCTTCTCTACATGGCACAGCATCGCAGTTTGTCTATGTTTTCTGTTCCCTTCTCCCTTCCCTGCACAGAATACAAACACCTTCAGGAAATCTACTTGAGAGACTCCCCAGCATCTGAAGACGTACCCACACATTAGATAGATGTCAGTGACCCCTTGTTTCCTGACTTCCCTGAGGACGCCTGGCTTTGGCTCTCCCACAGCCAAATGCTTCTGTCGGCAGAGGACCCTGGCTTCAGTCTGCAGACAGGGAGGGTGAGTCCCCTCCAGTGCACGCCCGACCCCAGCTGACCGGCCACCTCTTATTGGCTTCCTCCTTCAATGGGCTTTACCAAGCCTTGCGAGAACACTCTTTGTGGGGGTCTCTAGTGAATGGGGGTTATCTTGAGAATCTGAACTCTGCTGAGGTCGTCAAGTTCCATGGGTCAGATTTGCTAGGTTTGATTCTGGGTCTGGACACATTTTTTTTTTAATTAAAAAAAAAAGACTTATTTATTTATGCTTACAGAACTGGGGTACAGACCATAGGTGCGGTGGGAGAGGATTCACCAGAGTGGGGAGCAGAACAGTAGATTGACAAAGTACACTGCTGAGGGAGCATTGTGTAGTTCAGGAGAGGTCTGCCGCGCCATGTGGGTCATCTCCCTAGCCGGGGATCAAACTCATACTGCAGTGGCTTCAGAGAGCTTCATAATACCATGCTTCAACTCGTTGCACCACCAGGGAGAGCCTGGGCCTGGCCACATTTTAAATGTTCTCTAGGCATCCTGGCTGTGAACTACCAGGAGGTGAGTGCTTGATGCTGGGGCTAGAAGTCTTCATCTGTGTCCCCTGGCCTGGTAGCTGATCTGGCTTGAGGTATATGCCCATCTGGGCTGTTTGGAGGAAGAAAGAGGGCCCGCTGGCAGGGGTTGCTGGCCAATGTGCACTGGTGACAACTCTCCAGTGCCTCTACAGGACCATCTGTCACCACCCCCTTCTGCCTACATGCTGTCCCTGACTTGGACCACACATCTCCACAAGTCCCCTGATGTTTGCAATGCAGGTTCCCAAGGTCTACACACAGTCCCAGGGATCTGCCTGATGGGATTTCCTGAAGATTTTATTCTTCTTCTAAAGATGGGGAGGGATGCTCAGCTGGGGCAGGCACAGGAGGAGCGGCCAGCAGCCTGCACAGCTGCCTTTGGATGCCACCCAGCAATCTTCCCAGGAGTTACAGCATCTCTGGGTCCTACTCACGGAGCCCAGGCTAACCCATCTGTGGAACATGGAGACTGAGAGGGCAGAGGCTTGCCATTGGAATCACACAGAAGGCCTTGCCAGGCCTGGGTGGTAACAAGGGCTCCTGTTCCCTGCCCACCTCCTTACTGCAAAGTGAAGCCTGAGGACCTCTAAAGCAGGGTCGGGGTGGATGCAGAGCAGTTCTGGCAACCTGGGACCAAATGCCCTTCCTCAGGTCCTGCTGTTACTGCACACCAACCACACTGGTCTGAGGAAAAGGCCTGTTTGGCCAGTTGTTCAGCAAAGAAATGGATACATTTATTAACAACCGCTTATGAGCTGCGGAAGAGAGTCTTGCCCAGGCCTCACTCACCAAACTCCACGGCGTTGCAGTTTGTTAAGAACTCAGGCAGGTAGAAGAACTCCGGGGTCAGTTCTCTGACATCACTCATGTTCTCTCTGGAGGCCGACTCCCATGTGTTTTTCACGCTGTGAAACATTCTATCTGCCACATCAAAACTGCCCCCCTGCAGGGAAAAAGTGCTGATGTGATGGGCAGTGGAAGTCAGGCTGTTCAGGCCCCCGGGGCCTCCAAGCCCCACTCTGTGTCTGAGCCTCAGGTTCTTCCATGAGCCTCACCACTCACTCCCACGCACTCCCCCACACGCTCATTCTCAGTCAGACTCGTGCACACTGGCTGCTCACACAGCTGCTTCCTCAGCCGCTCTCTGGGACCTTGCATTGGAGGGTTCCCTGGAGACGCATGGTCCTCTGTAATAGAGGGGTTAACATCTGTCTATCTTGGAAATCTGGATTCAGATCAGAGACAGAACAGCATGGGCATTGTTTGACCTTTCTTACATTTGCTGAATTAAACACAAGGAAAGGACACAAAGTCTCAATGACAGGGCAGGGGACACTTCCTGCAGAAGTCCACTGTCTGAGTTTCGAAGCCTGGTGATGGAAAAGCGGTATGTTCTGAGGGCACGGCTTGGCTGGGAACAGAGGTGGAGGACAGCAGCTCAGGTCAGGGCTCTGGAGACTCCTAAGACACCCGCTAACATGTGAGAACAGGCTTTGAGGGTAGGGAGCTGAGGTACGCCAGCCTTGAGGGACAGGAATTTGGTATGTGGAGTCAGGGTGTGTGTGGCACCTGCCCAGGCTCCAAGACCCAATCCTTCAAGGTCCAAGGTGACCTTTGGTGATGCTTGAGCTGGGCAGCTGGGATTGGACTGGGTTAGATGTAATATAAATTCTTTCCTTAAATGTCCTGTTCTTCTCATTCATCAGGTGATCTTGTGGGGCAGAGAAGGCAGAGAGGCCCTAATTAGAGACGTGGAGATGCTGTGGCCAGATGGGTTTCAGGAAAGAATATGTGAAACTGGGCTTTGGATCTATATAAGTTTAGGGATACCTAAGGGCTCCCTCCTCTCTGTGATAACTCAGTAGTTCACTTGTCCCCATCAAAGTTGGGCCTTTGGCCCTCTACCACCCAATCTACTTCTGCAGAGTACACGTGTGGCCCTAAGAATGAAGGGGCAGAATTCAGAATGTCAGTGCCTCCTGGCTCTGGCAGCAAGATTTATTTTTAGAGGGCTGAGTTTCCCATCAACGTTTACTTAAGGCAGTTGTGGGCTGCTGTGGTGTCGGTTGAAGAATACTAAGGGAAGAACCTTCTCTTGGCAAACCTGTTCTACGTTAGGCACAGCAGACACATGTATGTGATCGCTCTCAGTCCTCATAGCAGGTCTGTTAGGAAGGAAGTGTTGTTTCCACTTTTCCTACCAGGAAGCTGAGCCTCCTGAAAGTTTAGATTTTTCCAAGCAATGATATAGCAGAAATGGGGTTCAAACCCATGAATGCAACTCTGAAGTTCTTGTTCTGCCTCTGTGCCAACTTAGTGGGGGATCCCTGTGCCTGGGGCAAATAACCTACTATTTGTGGGTCAGGGAGACTCAGCTCTTTTTGAGGAGGGAAAACCTGCCACACTCCTGAAGCGAGCCACTTCTGGGTGTCTGGAGAGTTAGGCCTTTCATGGCCCGTAGGCCATTCTCTGCACAGAGCCAGGGACACCAGGAGACCAGTTACCTCTGCGGCCACAGAGGTAGCTTAAAGATATGACTTTTCTCCAAGGTCATTTTGCTCTTGGTTGACAGGAGATGATGTCCACACTCATATTCAAATCGAAGTGGAAACAAAATGGAGGGAAGAGGGCTTCTAAATAAATCTGCACCTAACGAGTCACTCATTGAAATGTATTAAGAGCTTTGTGTATTTAATCTGCAGCCAGCTGAAGCCCTGCCTCTGCGGGAGATTGATGCCTCCGCCTCGTCCTGCTTTCTTTTTGCAGCTTTTATGAGTGCTGATGGTAATCTCCTGAGAAACAATATGATTTGGTAATAAAAAGATTACCTGTATTAAATAAAAATAATATATACATAGGAAATATTGTTAGTGCTACAAATCTGGTTAAAGATATTACCACAAAGAAAAATGTTATTTTTTTCACAGCTGTCTAATGCATTTTAGCAAAAGTAATATCTTTAAAACTTAAGCCTGTATTATTTATAAAGGAAGCAATAACTGATTTTCCTATTTCCTATATTAATAAATGTATTTGCATACATTTGTTTCAAAATTAATGGGTTTTCTCACTTCTGCAATACAAAAGAAATGCCAGATCCCCCAGAAGAAAAAGTGGAACTGCTTCTGCTTTGTTACTTGTAAGTCTGTGGGTTGACACAAACTCTGGAGGTTGCCAGCAATGAGAACTTGATTCTCGGGAACAAAAAGGAGTGAAGGAAGAGAAGACAGAAGGGAAAAAGAAAGAGGCAGGAGGCAGAGGGGCTCCTTTAAGGCCTAGAGGACGCTTTCCTCCCAAGGCCAAGACTGTATCAGAACAACCACAGAATAGAGCTAGAGACTGGCTGGAAACAGGTGGTGAGAGATGGACTGAACCAAGGCCCAGCCCCGTGTACTTTGCAGGTGTTCTTGAATGAGGAACCCAACATAGATCCAAACAAACCCCAAAAATCAAAATAAATAATAGTGAGGTTACTATTAACAAGGGAGCAAGATTTCCAGGCAGAAGATTTCCCCCCCCTGCAACATTAAACCAGAAGATGAAAAGGAGAGAGATAGAGGTTTCAGAGGCAAAAGATTATAGAGTCTGGATTTTATGACCAGCAAAGGTTATCACTCACGTAAGAAGACCAAAAGAGATTTTGAGCACTTCAGCACAATATATTCCGAGGTGCCCTTCCACAACTAAAGTATTTAAAGAGAGGAATTATGCAAAGAGGAATTAAAATAAAAAGCATCACAACAGGGAAGTGGCCTCCACGGACTGTAGCTGGACAGTCACTAACATCAGTAAAAGGTTCATACTGTGGTACATGCATCAAAACTGGAAATGCTCTTGCCAGGAGTATTTGGTGTCAACAGTTTTCCTCCTATGTGAGGACCCCGAGTCGATGTGGGCGTCCCAAATCCCACCGCCTAGGCCTCCTGGTTAGGATCCTCCTCCCGGCCCCTCCTGGCTGCTGTGCCCGCTCACCGTAATCAGAGCAGGCACGGCCGCAGGAGTGAGTGTCCAGCACAGCAGACCCGGCCGTCACCGGTGCCTAGTGGCAAGACTAGGTGGTTGGTGAAAAGGCCCAGGCGGGCTTCGCACCACGTGTGAGCACAGACACAGGAGCTCTGACTTCCCTCCCTTCTCCCAGCTCACCCAGACCCCAGGCTGGCACCCACCAGGAGCGACCAGGTGACAGCACAGCACAGTCCTCAGTTCTCTCTGTAGTTAGCATATGTCTTACACAAAAAACAGCCATCTCGCCTCAGGTGGTTCAGAAAACCCTTGCCTGCTGCTGGTAACAGCTGACTTCACACGGGCTGTGACTTAATTAACACAGCACTTTATTTCAGTTTCTTATTAAATGCAGAGGTGGAGGTGCTGGTGGCGGCACTGCCACTGTGCCCTCGCCAGGGCGCTGGCTGCCTTGCTCTGCCCCACACAGCCTGGGTCTGAGCTCAGGCCTGAGAGGACTCAGTGCTCCTGCCAGACAGAACTGGACCTGGGCTGTGGCCCAGCAACAGCAGGGCCTCGCGTGGCTGAGCTACACGAAGAGGAAGACTCACTGACTGTGGCTCCGGGAAGGAAAGAGTCTCAGGAATTACTGTACCCTGGGGATGAGCCCCCACTTCCTGCTGAGCAGTCTCACCCTGCCAGAGAGTGGGGATCACACAGGCACAGCTGACTTGGGCCTGGGTCCCGCTGCCTTCTGTGTCACCAGCTCAGGCCAGGCTGTACATCAACACCCTACTGGCTGAATTGTCTATGTATAACAGGCTTGGTGCAGAAATACAAATGAGCACAACAGTAGAGGTGTGAACCAATTTTAATACCAGACCAAACGTGTTAGGATTTAAAGGTGGGAGCATGATGTGTATCTTACACCATGGATCACTCCTTCCCCATTTCATCATCCATGCAGGGCTGGAAAGTGTGAGGTGCTGGGACTGGCTGATTCTCCTTTTCTTGTCACCACATAGGGGTCTTTTGAAAAGAAATGGCCCTGTCCCCATAAAAACAGGTTGGGGCAGATGATGTCAGGATATTCCCAAGGAGGTCTATGAAGACCCCAGGAGTCAAAAAAAGGAGACTGATTCACTCCCCACCCATGTAACCTTTACCCATCCCCTTGAGAGCTAAAGTTCTCCTTTTATTTTAAAGGCAAAAGCTAAAGATGGTTGTTTCTTCTGTTGGTTCCAAAAGTTGGACCCGTTACGGCCCTTGGAAGAGACAGTTAAAAGTAGGAAGGGGAAATCCATTCAGGAGCAAAGTGGGTCGATATGCCACAGGTAGATTTGACCCTGTGAAAAGCAGAAGTCACTTCAGACTTAACATGGGAGTCAAAAGGGCTCAAGCTCGTAAGAACACTTGCATGCCACATAAAGCTGTAAGATTGGATCTGACCATCTCACACTGTTTTAAACAATCTCAAACTGATGTTACCTCTTTGCCAATCACCAATGGATCTGAGCTCAGATAAGCTCAAACTAGTTGGGACTAGCTTCAAAGATGCCCAAACCCAGTATTTTCATGGTTTTAGAGCACACCTATTCTGTCTAGTTCCTGCCTTCTTTGGATGTTTTTACACAGTCCAGACTCTCTTGAATAAGCTTAGACCAGAAAAGACCTGCTGGCAGAAGATTAGGCCCACTCAGATTAGATCTGGCGGCTTCAAGGGGAGACAGGGACTAATGATGATTGATCACCTAGGGAGGGTCAAGCCCTGAGCTAAGGGATTTACCCACATTTTCTTATTTAACCTGCAGGATCCAGTGAGATGTGCATAAGTAACCCTCATTTCCAGGGATAAAATAAATTGAAGAAGTGGATGTAAATTTCAGAGCTGATGCTACAGCAGCAGACAAAAGGTGGGGTTTTAATACATTAGACAGAGGGGCAAGGAGAAACTATTAAAGCATCCAGAATTCCCCGGATGGGAAAGCCATAATGGAACGCATCACCATCACCATCAACAGGGCTCATCAGTTCTTGTGGATTAATGAGCAACATCTGGATGGGATTCCCGGCATGGGGTAAGCTCTGGGGCCGTTTGTTCTCCAAACCAAACTTACTTAAAATGCTTGTTGCCTGAGAAGGCTCAAGGGAAGCACACTTATTATTTTTTAGTGGATTTCCAGGGAGAGGGGGTTATACAATGTCTAGACAATCCATGCTGTCAATGAAAGAGGAGGCAATGCCGAGAAAGAGAAGACAGGAGGGGCTTTGCTTCTTGTTGGAGAAGGTACCCACCCCGTGCCCACTTATTCCTGCCCAGGAACTGGAGTCTGTTAGGGTGAACGTCATTTGAGTGACACAAAGAATGACCTTGCTGGTGAGGTCAGACCAAAGCACACAATTCCTGGCAGGCATTCTCCTTTGTTGAAGCTTATCTGTCAGAACAAGCCCCATCTTCAATAACCGGTGAACCCCTGTGGATTTTGCCTTGCAAGGCCTGGATCAGGTCAGGCCCTAAACTTGGGCCCATGATGTATTTACTTTGGAGTCTGAGCCAGCTGGCTCTGGCTGGGTTACAGCCAAAGTCAAGAACTGTAGTGCTCGGATAACCTTGGAAGTAAGATCTCAGGGTTAAAGGCAGAAAGAGAGGACAGAAAAGAAATGGCGTCTTGGGGCTGCCGTGGAGAGACCTGGTCCCACTTACTGCCACCCTGTCCCACTCAGAGTCAGAACCACTTACTTTCAGCTCACAAAGGGCTGCAGCCTAGCTAAGCTGAATTTCAAATTATGTTTTAGTGTAAGTCATTGTTTATCTGAAATTCAAGTTGACTTGGGTGCCTTGGATTTATACTTGCACAATCTGGCACCCCTAAACTGGCATAAGGGTCTGTTAGTTTACTGGCAGGTCATGTGGGTAGTTTGGCTCTTCAAATATTTGTCCTCTCAACCCTCTTGGCAGGACTTAGCCTAACTTTGCATATTCTGTTATCATAAGTGATACTCTTTTTCCCTTTTCCTTCTTTGTGTTTACTTTTCTAATTTTTGACCACCTACTTTCAAGCATGTTTTCAAATTTCCTGTTTTTCCTTTTCTACTAAAATAGACTTATGTTAAGTATTTTTTCCATGTATCTCATTTCTTAATTTTAGAGTCAGTTTGAGACCACTGGGCAGGTATGTAGTGTCACTGATGTGCAGCCTGCCTCAGCTGGACCCCCGAATCCTGGAGCCACCATCCAAGGCCTCACTGGCTAAAGAGGGGGATTTCTAGCAAGAAGGTCCCCACCTTGTCTGAATCCAGCTTGTAGTCTGCGAGCTGTAGCCGTGTGTGTGTGTGTATGTGTGTGTGTGTGTGTGTAGGCATGTAGGAAAGCTCACCTGCAGAGAGCAGAAGGCCTGGGTGAAGGGTGGCATCCGGACCAGGTAGGAGGCGACAATGATGGCGGAGGAGTAATGCGTGCAGTAGTGGCACTGGACGGTCATGTCTCCTGCAACGAAAGGATGGTTCCCCACCTGCGCTGAGCAGGCGTCGTCGCGTAAGCCTGCTGGTGCTCAAGAAGAGCAAGCGCTCTTCTGGCTGCAGAGGACTCCCATGCGCTGACAGAGCCTCTGCTCTGCTCCCTACTCTGACTCTGGTGAGTCTTCTCACCGCCCCTGTCCCTCTGGCCTGGACCCCAGTTCTGTATGCATAAATAAATAAAAAATGTTTTAAAAAAGAGTGGATGCACCTACATAGGGGGAGGCTTTTAACTCAGGGCTACCCCCGTGAGTTTCTAGAGGGGAGTATGAACTTTTCCATTGGCTCCCTCCAGGGTTTGTGGAGCCAGAACACCAAGATAGAAGCAGGGCCCAGACAGACATCCAGGCAGAACAGTAACGTTGCCGCCTGTGGGGCGTCGCGCCCGCCGGGCATCCTCTCCCTCCATCTCCCTGTGGCGCTACGATCGGTGTTACTCAGCATCCCCATAAATCTGAGAATGACTCACATCTTACATGGTAACGGGTGGCACAGCCAGCAGGGGCACGGTCAGCAGAGGCCTGCGCCAGCCGGCCCAGGACACACGCCTACCTGGCCACTCACTGGCAGCCCACACTGCCGACGGGCCTCCCTCATGCGAGCAGTTCCTAAAGCAGAGGGACCTCCAGGGTTGGTGGATGCACTTACACAAGCGCCCGACTCAAATGCACACCCAGGAGAGATGGCAGAGGCTGAGGCAGGTGGCCCGGAAGGGGACACAGCTGGTGGCAGGTCGTGGTCCTCTGGCTTCCCTCTGTGAGAAGCACCCCAAGATGCCTGGCACAGCCTGGGCAGCAGCACCCGGGCTGGGAGCTGAGAGGGATCATATTGATTCAACTTGTGCCTCTAAAGGAGATAAGCAGGGCCAGGAGGGCCTGCCTGTTTGTGCACCTCTCCCATCGCCCCCGAACAAGTTTCAGTGGGAACCTCATGCAGAGAGGGGATCCTGGGTGCAGGCGAGGGGGTCCACGGGGGCTGCACAGTATGTGGCAGGTGCCCCTTATCCTCCCAAGAACCTGCCCTCAAAGACCTCCCGAAGCATGCACCTCTGGCTCACAAGGGAATTCTCCACAGTTGATAGATGGAAGCTGCCTATCTTGATATATGTATTCTAAAGCAGTTGAGGAAAGAATACATATAGCATAAAATACTTGATAGAAAAAATCTCTTTAGCAATATATTCATTTTAAAAAACTACATGAACAGAGCTCATGCCAAACGCTAAAGTACTCAGAATACAGATGCCTGTGAGGGTGGCAGAAGGCAGAAAGGTGATACGCAGAGGAAGTTTGGGAGCTAGGTTCTAGAGCCAAAGCACAGCCAGGGCTCACACCACGCGATTAGAGCGTTCTGTGCTCAAATGCAATTGCAGGCTGGCTGCTCTCCCAAGCTGGCTCTGGCTGTCGCCTCGAGGCTCTCGGACAGACAGCACTGCAGGAGGAAAGGCCAGCCGGGATCAACCCACCTTCCGTCTTCTCAACTTCTTTAAACCTCTGGATAAATTTCAGCTTCCTTTCCTTGGTCTGGGCCCCCATGGGCTTCGAAAGATCCCGGAAAGTCTTGGGATTTGTCAAGTTCAGCATCTAGAAGGCAGATGTTCAGCTGGAGTTAACTCCCCTCAGACCCTCTTGTGCCCCAGCGAGACTTCAGGAGCCACGCTCTTTAGTTTTATGGTTCTCTTTATTGGTTTATTGTCGTTTGGTCTGACCCCCTCTGGTGATTAGCAGGCGTGCTGGGGTTTTATGGCCCTGGAGGCAGTGATCCACAAAGACTTAATAGGGGAGAGATGGAAAATGAGAGGAGGGGAAGATTGAGTTCACACTGAACCTGTTCCAAGTTGACCCAAATCAGAACATGGCCACTGGTTACCGGAAAGAGATTTTCAGAAGAATTCCTGTCATCTGTGAGGCACTTGGCTCCTGCCTCATGGAATATTTTGATTCAACAGTTCAAGCCCTTGCTTAGAATCCAACTGATTTTCTAGGAAATCAGAAGTTATCTGTGTGGGAGGAGAGGAGAGGGACAGCCTCGTGCTCTGGAGGCTCCCCGAGCAATAAAAGCACATATTCCCCTTTCTCATCCTGGGGAACACGCAGTGGTGGGGACCCGAGGCTTTCGGAATGGGTACCCGAGGCTTTCTGGATGGGTACCCTCAGAGCTGCGTTCTCTTAGCAGAGAGGTTCTGTGTGTCCACAGAAGTGTGCATCCTCCAGGGTTTGTGTGACTTGATAGAAGGAGGTGTTGCTGTATAACTCTCTTTTACTAGAAGTGAATCACAGAGTACCCTGGGGGTCGTGGCTTGTTTCCTTCCCAAAGGCCTACAGGGGACAGGGAGTGCCGAGAGTAGAGCCAGTCTAGGGGATCAGCTACCTAAGTAGCCATAGACAGGAGAGCCAGGGCCAGTCTAACCAAGACCCAGTCACCTTCTGCCCTCCTGCACAGACCAGACACCTCCTGCTGGCCAGACCTCAGGTGGGCAGGACACTGCTTCAACACTGAGCCAACAAGGTCAGCTTGCTTCACCTTCCTCCCCTAAGGGTCCCCTAAGCACAGAGGTCCCAGAGCAGAGACTAAAAAAAGTCATCAGCAACCTGCCCCCCCCCCCCCCACCACACACACACACAACCCACCCTTTGGCTAATGTCTCAGTCCAGATCCTGGCTGATCTAGATGCCATCATCATCTCTGTTTCTGAAGTCAGACTCCAGAGCAGGAAGTAGTTCATTCTCTCTGAGTCTCTGTATCTCTGTCTCTGCCTCTCTGTCTTCTTCCTTTTCTCTCTCTTCCTCTGCTTTTTTGTACACTGACATTCTAGGAGAAATTCCTGACCCATTTCATTTAATGGACCACTGTTGGTTCACTGCACTTGTCCATTGTTGGGGGGAGCAGGAAGCCTCTAAAGCACCTGTGGGCTGTGGTTCCCAGTCAGGCTGATCATCCCACAGTTGGGACTGCTTCTCCACAGGTGGGGCTGGTACAGGAGCCAGAAGACCAGACTCCAAAGCTTCCTTTGGGGTGAGAACCAGAGCAGCGAGCTACCCCAGGGCCCAGATGGACGGAGCCTTGTGGCAGAGGGTGTGCGCTGATTTAGGGTGCTCTGGTCGTGAGAGTCAGATAGGCTTAGAACACCCATGGACATGGAGCAGCCCATAAACACTGTACCTGAGAGGTGTAGTCAGCCAGGACCCAGGGAAACACTGGATACTGCATGTAGTCATTGTAGGTTCTCCCAGCCAGGGTGTTGAGGTGCATGAGATACTCAAAATTGCTGATGTCCCTTTTCTACCAGAAGAGACAAAGAGAGGATGAACCCATGCAGTTGACATTTCCTGAAGGTCACACAAATCCACCCCCCCCTCAATCCCCAGGAGGCCCTTGCTATGCAGATGAGAACAGGCAACCCATCCACCACCACCGCTCCCTGTGCCCCATGAGCATGAATCAGGCTGAGTCAGAGAGTCTGGACTCAGTTCAGCATGAACTGAGGCAAAGACATTCAGGAAACAAAGTTGGCCTAAAGCCAAGGACAACACATTTTTTAGTGTAACTGTTGGATGTGATACTCAAAAGGTGATTAAATGTTATGGATGAACAAATGCTATGGATAAGCCTTTTGCCAGACCCCCTTTATGATAAAAAATAAATAAGGGACTTGGCAGACTCAGAGAAAGAGGCCCTCTTTGGTGAGGTGAACACCTGTCTTCTTCCTTTGGGATTCTAGAAACTTCCCTCTCCCTATCCTTGCCTATTGATTGACACTTTTTTTTCTCAGGGCTCTCTACTTAGGAGATAGAGTCACAAATAAGACAGGGGTTGTATCTGGGGGAAATTCACCAAGACCAACTGGTGAAGCAGCTAAATACAGATACCATTTCTTAGAAGAGACCTGCATGCTGGGTCACTCCTTTCCTTGACCTGCTCTGTGGGAAAAGATTTCGGAAGTGAGTGACCAAGACGCCCTCTCCTGTGGCCATACACTGCCTAGGATGGCCTCTAATGATGCCTTCCTTTCACCGGGGGCCCTAGTTTGAATGTCATTCCATCCAGCCTGGTATCCCTCAGATACCTCCTGAGTGTGTTCATTTATACATGCATGTCCACATATGTCACCGAGGGAGCATGGATGTGCACACAGGGTACACACACTTTGTACAGCCACCCAGCTCTGGCTTCCAATGTTCAAGAATCACTCTCAATTTTGACATTTTTTCAGGGATGTATGTGCAACATTTGGTCAATTATAAAAACCAAGTTCCCTCTTCGTCACTGCGGTCTGAGTTTCACTCTCAGAGGGTTTCTTTAGGCTCTGGGTCCTCTCAGGGTCACGTACCTGCCACCTGTGCAGCATGGTCCTCTCGGAGCTCGGGTGTTTCCTGAGGGGCAGAAGTGATGGGGATGAGCAAACATCTCAAGACATAACCTGGGGAAGAGGCAGCAATTTCTGGGGCCTCGTGGGGTCAGAAAAGCAGACTTCCTGAAACACACACAACTCTCCCAGCCAGGGTGATGAGACCACTATCCAAGCTTGCTTGGTCAACTTAGTTAAGACTAGTTGTCACTGTTGGTCATAGGGGATCCCAGAATATGATCTGCTTTAGCAGGCACATGGAGAAGTCCCAGGGACATGCTGAAGCAGGCCTAAGGTCATACCAGGCTTCCCACTGCCACATCTTAGCCATCTTTGTCCATGTGCATACAATATATGTAAATGTATTATTAAAAATGAAAATGCTATAGAAGGCCATAAATTATACAATAGGTCATAGATACCTATATCATAATAAAATAAGAGACTTAGTTTATATTGTCACCAAGAAGTGTCCACACTTCAACGTTTTCAGAAAAATTGTCCTGATATGCTCACCTATATGCTTATGATTTTTTAAAAAATTCCATCATCCAAGGGACCCACTCGATTTTCCACCCAGCCTTACAGGCATTTTATCTCTCTGGAGATCCACTTTTTTTTTTAAAGATTTATTTATTTATGCATACAAAGCTGGGGTACAGGCCAGAGGTGGAGGGGCAGTGAGACAATTCACCAGAGAAGAGTGGGGAGCAGAACGATGAAGTACACTGCTGAGGGGAGCTGCAGGTGAGAGAGGAGAGGTCTGCTGCACCATGTATATCACCTCCGGGGGATGGGAGGAGGGAGGGAGGGATCCAACTCTCACTGAGTGGCTGTGGCTAACTTGTAGTGCTACATCTTAACCTATTGTGCCACCAGGGAGGGTCTCTGGAGACTCTTTCACAGCACTATCTGGCCTCATCTCTGCAGCAGTAGGACACCACCATACACAAAGACCAAAATGGATTGAGCCCGAACCCCATGAAGGACTCTGCCCTCACAAAAGATGGCTCCATGACCACCACTGGCCATAAATCTGCATATTTCAGATGAGGGGATTGATAAGGTTCTGATAATGCTAGCACTGGGCTGAAGAGTCCAGGCATTTTCAGCTTGGCTACATATTGTGAAAGTGACTTTTTAAAAGGCAGTACCAGGTCCCCCCTAGTGGCACAACGGGTTAAGTGGCAGCACTACGAAGCTGTCCACAACCACTCAAGTTTGCTCTCCTCAGCAGTGTATTTAGTAGGGCCACCTGTTCTGCTCCCCTCTCTGTCTCTGGTGAATCCTCTCACACCCCACACCTTTGGCCTGCACCCTAGCTCTTGTATGCATAAATAAATAAAATTTTTAAAAGTAAATAAAAAATTAAAAGGCTGTACCAATGTAAACTTTTACAAGCACATTTCAGAAATGCAGATTGCACCAAAGAAATACTATGCTTTGAGCAATCTGGTGGGAAAGAGTTTAAAAGTATAACAAAATGAATTATTGGGCAGGGTACAGGGAAAGGGTTTTCTGGAGGAAGCATCCCTTCTATTCAGCAGAAATGTGCAGGGCTCCATTTCTGCACCTCTGCAGAGTTCCTTTTCCAAATGTCTTCTTCCCTATCTGTCTCCTTGAGACTCTTCTTCTACTCCCAGTACAGGTAGGTACTCAAGGTGTTCCACTAAGTCATGTTTCCTCTTCCCAGCCAGGTCCCCTGCCTCAGTCCTTAGCGTCCTCCACGCTCTGTCTGGATAAGGCCTGGACGCCCACAGGCCCCAGTAGGGGCAACACCTCTTCATCGTCTCATCACATCACCTGCCCCATTGTCCCTATTCTTCCTCACCCAGCTCTTTCCTTGGCATAATTCTTCCCTTCCAGAGGCAGAAAGCAACTGCCAAGCTGAGGTCCACCCCTCTCCTCTAGTAGAGAACTCATCTATTTGGTCCATTTTAGCTGGGTAAACAACAGAAGCAACTCAACCATCTAAGAGAAACATGGTCCAATTTATTATTTTAGCTTGCAAATGCTCAGGGGGAGATCTTGTTCTCCTGCTCTGTCTGTGAGCCTGCCACTGTCCAAGTTCTAGAAGGCTAGAAACAAGGGCAGAGTCCAGGATGGAGATACTGGGCTCATGCCACATCGAGGACATGTCTTGAGCCTACTAATTTTGACTTTATTTTAGAAATTTGACAGTGGGGTAGGAATACATCATGCCTTTGGTATTCAGGAAATAAGAGGCAGCACTGTAATTTTCCCTTTCAGGAAGGGTTCTAGAATTTTACCTGTGGTCTTTTGTGACGAAGCAAATAGGCGGAATGGTGTGCAGAAGATAAAGGCATTTCACCAGCCCATTCCTCATTTCACCGGCTATGAGCTCCAAGGAAGATCCATCATTTTGTTACCATCAGAAAAAGACGCCACTACCAATAGCGCCAAGACACCTAACTAAAGGTGGGTTCTATTTAAAACAAGTTTTAATTCAGATTAACATGAAGAAGGCAGTTCATAGTCTTGGAATGAGCTATGTGAATTTTGTAAATATCTGATAATCAGTCTTAAGTATCACAATACTTGATAAGCTGCATTGTCCTGCCATCATAGTATAAGTTTTAGATTAAATAAGAGATGACTCTTGGTGTTCCAAAGCCGAGACCTGGAGGAGACAGCATGGGAGAGAGTACTGGCTTTGGAGTCAATAGAACCTGGGTTCAGATCCAGAGTAGCACTCAACTCCTCTGAACAGTGGTCAGCTCGTCCTTCAAACACGGCCGATCCCATCCATCACAAATGAGCACTAGTAGCATAACAGCCACGGGGATAGTGCTAGTAGGTGTTGATGATGGTCCAGGCCAGGCTGGTTCTTTTTTACTCTGAACAAACAGAATGGTAAGAGTAAAGGCTTGCTTCTGGTCAAGTCCTGACTGGTTCTGTCAATACCTTTCTGAATGATCTTAGAAGACGTATGTCACCTGTGAATCACATCACCTGTCTAGTTAACCTAGCAGTTGGCAAGGGTGAGGAGCGTTTTAAGTGTCCGATGTGGGGTCTATAAGCCAAGAGTGTAGGTCTTGTTCAGTCAGAGATGCATCTAAGAAGAATGGAGGAACTCAGTGAGGACTGGGGTTTTCTCTGCTTAACCTAAAGGCAGCCTAGCATGAAGAGACAGAGTCAACCAGAGATTCTCCTCTGTACTAATAGGATATTGACCCTTGACTTCATTTTTACAGTTCTATACCTAGGAAAGGAGCAATTAATAATTGTCTAATGCATTCAGATTGCAAAGGCATTTTGTCTGTTGTCTGATTTTCACAGTGACCCAACAAAATGGCCATTATCTCCACTGGGGTTTCAGGTGCTGTGCAGAGAAGGCAAATTCAAGATGGCTCGCTGGAGCCACCCTAAGGCTTGACCCCCCGCAGAGCCCGTTCTCATGAACACACCCACACAGGGCTGGCAGAGTGCCCCTGCTAGGACCACACCTCAAACCCAGCCTCTGAAGATGAGCTCACTCACTAAAGTGGTGAGGGGAAACAAAAGCAAACAAAAGGCAACAGCAAAAATCTTAGAAGGCAATTACATGACAGTCACCTGTGTATATTTGGAGGCATTCGGTTAAAAAAATGAGCATTAGCAAAAGCCAGATTACTACTGCACATCCATACCATAAACATGATGCTGCAGAGGTCTGAATGCCTGGAGGTTATGCAGTGTGAAGTTCCTGCAGGTGTTGAGACTAAGCCTCTCTGATTTTAAAAGGTTTTACGTATCTGCATTTTAAAATATATTTATCTTCTGTATTTTCCTTTTTAAAATATTGATTTTATTTTGTTTATTTGTATTTTATGCTTTTCACATTTAAATTATATACTTTCATGAATACTATAATTAGAAATATGCAAGAGAACAGGATTTTGGTCATTTGAAGTTTATATTTACCTTCATTTATAATTAACTTAAATCCATTTATTGTCTAAATCAAATATGTATTTTATTTTACTTGGGGTTGAACAAAAACAGTAGCGGTATTCCTAACACTTTATACTTAATGATATTTTTAATTTGATATGTTATTTTAATCTTCTAGCTTAAACTATTTTACTTTTGATGTAGATTCCATAATGTTTGGGTTGACTTTGGATTTAAAATTATTTATTTACTAATAATTTTATTTATTCCCTGATTCACATCTGGTTGGCATAATTTATTGTACTGTTATTTTTTATTTCTATATATGCATTTTCTACAATGTTATTTTATTATTTGCATACCAATTCAATGTTTTACCAATTTTTGCCATTTATGAGAATTTAATTTCAAGAAAAAACTGAACAGGGAGACTATAAATGCACAAATAGATTCATTGCAGCAGCATTCATGATGGTGTCAGATTGGAAACAACAGGAAAAGCAAAATCCCCCAGGTTCTGTGTTACACATTTACTCAAAATGGAGGATTTAGAAACTACATACAGGCATCTAATGACAGTGTTAATTGAAAAAGAAGAATACAGGATTTTCTGAGAAGCATTATTGTCACTGATTTCATTGTGTAAAAAGGGCACAAAAAGGAAATTGCAGGAGTAATTAAACTCAAATAAACAGATAAAAGAGCCATTTCAAAAACCAAAGAGCAGGAAAATAAGATTTGGACAAAACTAAGGAAATGGGTATTTTATGGGACTCGGTGCTCTGGGAATGTAAGACGTTTGTTCCTAAAAGGGGCCAACGTGGCTTTTACCCCATGTTAGCAATGTTACTTCCCGTGGTCACCATGGAAGCCGGCGGCTGTGCCTTACTCTGTGTGTGGCCCTTCTCCTGCACCGCTGGGAGACACAGCAGCAGGTCTCCTGTGAGAACCCTGGGGGCTGGGCTCCCTCTCTATGGGAAGCAAGCAGAGCCAGCTGGTAAGTTTGGGTGTCCAGGAGCCCCTCCGAACCACTGGGTTCCTTCCCCTGACTGGCTGGTTTCAAGATTATGTTAATCAACACCAAGTCCCAAGCCTCCTGTTGCCTGGTGACAAAGTTTCTCTGTTGAGAAG